GCTAAAGTTTTAATACTAATAGAAAAACATGTAAGGAAATAAAGATGAAGTGAACTTTATTATAAACACAAATGCATAGTTTATAAAGAAACTACACTGATGGATTTGACAGAATTGAAGTTAAGCCAAAATTATCAAGTATTTGATAAACTGAGAAAATATTTTTAATAATTTGAAATTAGTAAGGGGTTAATATATAGAGCATACAAGGTATATACAAAAGCTTAAGGGAAAAGCTGAGAATTACAAGATAAAAATTAATTAAATTAGGCAACTTCTTAAAAGGTAAATCTGAATTAGCAAGTATATGAAGAGATGACTAACTCTTGATTTTCAATGAATGGGCAAAAGTTAGAGGTCAACTATTAATGAGATAGAGGAAGATAGGTAGAATGTGTACTGCTGACAGGAGTGTACACTGGTACGGCCATTTTAGACAGCAATCTGGGTGTATTTAGCAGTGATGAATATGATCTAGTAACCTCTTCCAGGGATGCATCCCAGAGAAACTTGAGCCCAGGTTCATAGGAGGACACACACAAAGATGTTCATTGTAACGGCAGGTTAGTGGCAATGGGATGTCACATCACTGCAGGAATGGGTAAGGAAATCGTGGTGGATTCATACAGTAAAATTCCATCCTTCATTCAAGAGCAATAAATTTGCATTACATATAGCAGCATGGGTGAGTGTTTGAATAAATGTTAATAGAAGGAGGGTTAGTAGGGGGACCACACCTATGAAGCAAGTACAAGTTGGATCTATCAGGTGTAGAACACAAATGTCTTAACACTGTACTTGGGTAAATGAGGTGAAGGCTATGTTAATTAGTAGGATGTAAGCACTCCAATGTGTACAAATAATCAACACATTGAATCCCATAATGGAATAAATGTATGCAGGATCTACATACAAATGACTTAATAAAAAAATAAAAATAATGTTGATCAAAAAAAGTTAACATTAGATTAAACATTTAAATTAAAAAATTGAAGTGAATTAAAGATTTTAAATTATAAACAAAATGAAGGATATCGCATGATACCATTTATATAAACTAAAAATGGATGTATATATAAAATACGCAGTATATACATCTCAAAGATCCAAAATGCCTATCTGTAACAGAATGCTGCCTATAGTGAGAAGGCCTCTAAGTAGAGTTAAAATGAATGGCAAAATAATAAAAAGGAAAAAAAAGTTTCTTTTGCGTGAACAATTGAGGTACGTGCTATGCTCTAGGGGGAATCCTTAGCATAACACCCTGCATTGAAGATTGAAAATATATAAATTATACAAATATAATGCTTGCACTCTGTAACAGAAATAGGAAAAACGTTACACATGAACCCAAATATATACACATGTACTCTCCCGTTTCTTTACTGACGGTCCCAGAACATGTCAGGATAGCATCCTTTTCTTATGCCAGCAGGCTTATGCCATTGCCCTCTTATCCTTAGTGATCTCTACCTATCTAATGACACTCTTCAAGACACAAAGTTCTACTTCCTCACAAAACCTTTAAACATCTTTCCATTCTTGTAACTGTTTTTCTAAAAACTAATTGCTTTTAAAAGCCATATTGTAATATTGGAGGCTTAAAAATTGACAGCCCTCTTTTGCTCTGTATTATGTCTTACCCAGGGTTACCTCCTTTAGACGTTAACTTCTTAGGGATCATGGAGACTTCATTGATGTTCTCTGTTGTGCCTAGAATAGTGTTGTATACATAGGATCTCGACAAACATTTCAATTAACAGATTTTCATTTGGGATTTGGAATTGTGGTATAAGAAGTATAGATAGGCTGGACAATAACTGAGGTTGAAAACTACTATCTTTTTACAGCTGGAAATTAGTTTTAAAAGTGGAGAACAGAAATGGAATTATTACTATCACACCACAAACGGAGTAGCTCTCCAATCAAAGAAAGGGATGAATTTTGTTTTAGTCTCCTCTCTTTTAAAGAGCCCCTGCCCTTTTTTTAGGGTCATTTTTCCCTCAACAAATCTTCACATCTGATAGCCCACCTATCTCTGCTTTCTGATTATGATGACCAGACCATGATGAACTATCACTATTTTTCCCCCTGAATTCTTAAAAAAAAATTTGGTTTTGCTTCAATCTAAGACATAAAACCAGTAAGAGCCAACTCAGGATGTGTTTCCTCAATATAGAACACTTTTAAAAGAAATGTGTTTTTTTTTTTTTGATGGACATTAACTTTTTTGTGATTATCAAACATATGAATTAATTTTTACATGCTAAATTGTGGCAGGACATTCCTCTGGTAGACACGGAGGGGGGAAATGCCCAGCATAGTGGCACAGATACGCTAAACTTGAGTCTGAGATTCAGAATTCCATTTAGCTGTGCTCTATACACGGTCTGAGTAGAAACTAAGAGTTTTCTCTGAAAGTGAATTGAATTTTTGGTGAGATCTAACAAGAAGTTGGAACTTTGAAGAGGAGAGATAAGTAGCTTGCTCAGCTTCGTGTAAGGTACAGATGTGGATTGGCTCCAGGTTAAAGGGAGCATAATGCAAATAAAATGCAAAGTGGAAGGACTCATAAATGGGATATAATATGCCGTGGGTACAGTATCTATCTCACTTACTGCTTTGTGATCTTGACACTGTCAGAAACATCTTTGAAACTCCTTTTTCCTTTTTGTATCATAAGGAGGCATGAAGATTCTAATTCTTTTTGATTTATGAATGTTATTATCAGCTAACAAGATCTCCAAAAGGTAAAAAGAATTATGTACAGATATGTATTTAAGATCATAAGAAGCTGCGCTTCATACATTTTAGTAACTGGCATAGAAATGAAAACTTGAAGCATAGAAATTAAAAAAAAATTGTATTTGTGGTCAACAAATATTTGTTGAAGGAATGCATCATAAAAATGGCATAATCTTGAGAGAAAGACCAAGGAGATTCTTAGGCAGAGCAAGAAACTTACAAAGTCAGATAGGAAGGCGTCCTCTTTACCCAAGGATCAGTACCAGGGGAAAGCTACAGGAGCCAGGGTAGCTTTAGCATAAAAGGGCTGAGAGCCCAGTAGTAGAAATGCCTACCCAAATATTAATTAAACAACATGTCTCAACCCTTGGGCAAAGCAAGGAAGGAGAGTGAAGAGCTCAAAGAAATTGTCAGCTTTAGAATTAGACAGACAAGGATTTAAACCCAAGCTCTACCATTCATTAAATATAAACATTGACAAAGATTGAGTTCTGTGAGACATCAAGCAAACAAAGACTTCAATTCTGAAAAATAATAATTATAGTACTTACTTTCTAGAATTGTTTTGAAGATGAAACAAGTGAATATGTGAAAAAAAACCTAAAAACGTGCCTAACATGATTTTTTATGCTATTGTTATTATTATTGTTGCTGCTACTGTAGATTTTATGCCCCAAAGGGTGTCTTTCAACCATCCCAGTATTTGTCTTGACTTCAGTTCAAGAACTTGTAATTCTTAAAGTAAATGGCTTCTTTATTTTTGAATTTTCTTCCATGTGTGCTTTTTTTTCTCCTTAAGGTTCTTTGAAAAGAACCCCCCCACCCCCGGCGCCCAAATTCTAGCTTTGTCTTAGCCTGAAGAAGTAAAAAGGACTTTCCACACTCAGTCCAGGGGAGCTAAGTTGCCTGGATGGCTGTCTGTGGTCTGACCAAGTAAGCCCAGGATCTCAGAGAATCCGAAGAGTTAGCACAGAACCAGGGCAGGAGCTATCCAGGCATGGTTGAAGTGTTCTTTGTGGATTTCATAGAAGAGCTGGATTGTATCACATTCAAATGCACTAGAGTACCCTCCCAGGAAGTGGCGGTGTGTGTCCTCCTCAAGTGTTTGTTCCTACTATACCTTCATTTGAGCGCAGAGTAGGATAAATCTTGCTTTCTAAAGGTTACTGACTGATTTGTATGATGCATACATTTAATAGTAAATAAAGTTACATTTAATGTCAACAATTCTTCAATTAAACAGATCAAGGAGAAAATTGAGATTTATTACAAAGAATGCATTAATACTGACAACTTGCCAGAAGGCAGACTGGAGTCAACAAACAATATGGCTGGTATATTACGGCTAAATCAAATTTTCAAAGAAATTCAGTTCTGGCGAAATGTGTGTTAAGAAAAACTGTTAAAATAATATGAGTTCGTTTTGAAATTCCCTTTACCCATAGGAGGTTTTGACTGTCAGAAACAGGCCTCCTGCTATTCAGTGTAGGTTAGTTCTCCAGCTTAAACCCCTTGATCAAACATAATTTTGATGTAATGTATTAGTTAGCACGCCAGCATCTATTTCATTTTAAAGGTGGTAAAGTATAAGTCCAGGGTACGCCAAAAGTGAAAAAAGATGGAGGAAGGACAAGGTTTCACTTCTAATTTTTAACCCAAGCCTTCTGAGCAATCTCAGTTTCACAATCCGGGATAGAAAGTATGATTTCTCCAGGACAAAAAGTGTCTTAACTGTGAAGCTGTATGTGAAGATAAAGTCTAGTGGAAACACTCAGGTATCAGGTAACACTCAGATCACAGGCCATGTGATCGAAGAGCAGAAAATGCAGAGTGTGCTGAACACAAAGGGTGCAGGACGTTGGTTTGGTTTGTTTGTTTGCTCAAACAATCTGTTGAGAGGGATAAGTGAGAAGAGAGACTTGCATTGCTTGACCCAGGGACTGGTTATGGGGAGCCCTAAGGTGCTGCGATAGTGAGATAGGAGAAACAGGTGCGAGGGAAAATAAGGCTGGAGTCGTACGAAGGGGCTGTTAGATCGCAGAATGCAATCTGAAGCGGCTCAGGGTTCCCCGGAGGACCAGCAGGAGAGCCGCCAGCCGGGCGGGACCTGCAGGAACCCCGGGAGGCAGCCTGCGCCACGGCCCCGCCCCCGGAGCCCCGCCCCGGCCCGGGCTAGACCAATAGGAACTCGGGATGTTAGCGGGTGGGAGGCGCGGCTGGGTTGCTACAGCCGGAGCTGGGCGGTGGCGGGCACAGCCGGAGGAGTGTGGCTGAACCAGAGGCGGTGGCGCAATGGAGGGACTGGAAGGTGAGTAACTGAAGGGATGCGGGTCGGGCGTCTAGAACGGGCCCAGAACGGTTGAGGGGGCGGTCCTGGACATCAGAACCAGAGAGGCCAGGGCAGGTCGGAAGCGGGGGACTCGGCGCGCCTCCGGAGGCCGAGGCTGGCTGGAGCCGAGAGCCCCCGACGGTGGAGCGAGGGAGTCCCAGGCTGCCCCGCCTCGGACGGTCTCGCCCACCCAGCCTCCGCCTGCCTCTGGCACACGTCTGTCTGCACGTCTCTTCCTACCCTTTTCTGATCTTGCCTGATGACTTGCCTGACGTCCTTTGGGTAATCACAGTTGCTGGCCGGATTTTATTCTCCTTGCAAACTGGACTCCCCATTAATGTCCACGGCCTCACCACCACCGGGCCAGTTTTTCCTGGGGCCCAGGGGTTTGTGTCCAGCCCCGAGCTCTTGACACAATTCCTTGGCCAATTTCCTTGGATAACCGTTTTTTTTTTTTTTTTTTTTACATTTCGATGGCTGCTTCTATCGGAGGAATGCTAGAGCATCTCCCAAGGAAGTGTCACTGGCCAGCTTTAGAGCCAGTACAATGGATTGCCAGGAGGATTTAATGGCTTATTCACGGCCGCTGTGTGAGGAAGAGCTAGCATTGCTTCCTTATCTTTGGGTTTATCCTTGTGCTGTAACCATGACTCTAGATTTTGCTTTGTTCCCAGTTCTTCCACTTTTTCCTCTGTTCTCTTTACTCATTTTATCCCGTGTAATTACCACATTCACCTAAAAACAAAGGAAAAAAGAAACTGGTGAAATCAGTGTTCAGCCTAACAGTCCTTCTCTTGTGAATTCGCTGATCTTAAAACAGTTCAAGATTTTTTTTTAAATTGCAGTTAATCTTTCTGATGAAGAACAAACCTTCAGAACTGATTAGCTGTTTTTCCCCCACTTAATTTACATGGATTCAGGTGGAATTAAGAATGAGCAGAGGTATTTTTGCATGCTAGAAAGTAAAATAATGTACGTTGTATTATGAAGTGAAAGTGGTTAACGGGACCCAAGGCCACCAAAAAATAAATGTAATAATGTGAGTGTACGTTTATTTCACACTTCTGCTCTGTGATAAAACTGTCATAGTAAACAGCTTGAGTGTGAAACAGAGAATTGTGATAATTATGGACAGCTGCAGTATGCTATGAACTGTGAACTCTTGATCTTTGCTTTATTAAGAAAATAATTCATATAAGAGATTGAACATCAGTACACCTTACTTTTAAGATACTTTTGTTTGGGGGGCTCAGGAGGTAATTTACTAAGAATGCTTTTCTTTATAATAGCAGTTACACAGGTAGAGAAATACATGGATTTTGTATGTGTGGGTCCAGCCTTTGATGTATCATATTAAACAGCACTTGCTCTTTATCTTTAATTACTTTTTGTCACAAAATATGATGGCATCGTTAACTATGGTGTGTTTAATTGTAATGAATTAGGTTGAAATATGTGAAATTGCTCTTTTTATAGAGCAAAACAGTTAAATATTGGTGGTATCGAGTGGGTTCATCCTCATAAAAGCTCTGAGAGTTTTCTGTTGACATTAACACAACGTCTTTCTCTGTCTCTTTCTCCCTCCCCTGATAGGTCATGCTTTACAAAGACCAAAACTCCAAATCTTAAGGTTACCATTCATTCCTAACTTTATTTAATAAACATTAATACAGTGACAAAGTTTCTTACCTATATTGGAATTGAAGTCTAGTACTTTTAAAGCATTCTTAGTAAGGTTCTAAAAGTAAGTGGCACAGCTATAAGGTAAGGCCCATAAAATGTAAGTTCAATGAAGGTAGGGCTTTGACTACTGTCCTTTACTGCATCCTCAGAATGATGCCCATCATAGACAAAGTCATTTATTTATTTATTTTTTTGAGAGACAGAGTCTCACTTTACCGCTCTCAGTAGAGTGCCTAGGCCATTCTCTGGCCTTAGCCTCTCGAGTACCTGGGACTACAGGCGCCTGCCACAACACCCAGCTATTTTTTTGTTGCAGTTTGGCTGGGGCTGGGTTTGAACCGACCACCTTCGGTATGTGGGGCCGGTACCCTACCAGCTGAGCCATAGGCGGCGCCCCGACAAAATCATTTATTTAAACAACAAATACTTATGGAGTATCACTTTGTGTTAGATACTGTTTTAGGTGCTTAGGAAACGTAAGAGTAAAATGAGATAAAGATCTTTGCTTTATTAACAATGCTGAATAAAATAATATTCTGCAAACTGTTCAAAAGTACTTTATATGTAAGATCTTGTATTATAGTGATAACCGTATGAGTAAACATTATATTTCTATATTTAGTAAAATATCTTAAAAAGTTTGCTTAACCTGTTAGGGTAATTGAGTAACTGTTGTACTCTTTGACTTAGACTTATGTTTCTAGTTGTAACCAGCTACCAGACTTATCTTGCTTGTAAAACTAGAAAATAGATGGATTCTTGAAAAATTCTATTGAAGAAACATACTCTTTCTTATAACTTTTGCATTATTTGCATATGGATCATATATGACTTATATTATTTTTGATCTTTTGGATCTTTGATGCTTCCTGAATTCTCAAGAGAAGAGCTGGTAGGCTGAACACTGTATTTTGAAGCCAGATACAAATTTCTGCTCATGGTTTTGTATTATCTGTATCTGAGCATCGGTGAATGGTGTGGCTAAGCACACCAAATCCTTTAATTCCTTTTCACCTGAAGTTCATATCCTGCCGAGCTATCTACAGGCAATGAAAGTATTCTAGACTTGGGAGAGTTCCAATCTCTGCAAAATGAAGAACTGATAAAGTCTAAGCAGATTTTATCTTTGTATGTACATAGTATTGTCGTTCCCTTTATAACACCCTTATCAACAGTTATAACAGTCATTAAGGTAGAGATTGGGCTGCCCGTGCCTTTTAGACGGCTCTAATTATTAGGCCTCTATTGTTCTTTAACACTTGTCTAGAAGTCTAATTGCTCTCCTGCATCATTTGCCCTTGTTCTAGTTGAAGACAGCACTCATGTCCCATCAAGGTTACATTTTATTTTTCTCTAGAATAAACATATACTAGTTTATGAAAACAACTCATTTTTATTAACTTACTTAGCATTTAATTGTCTTTGGTACTGAGTTAGATGCCAGATATTTTAGTAGCCAGTCTATTGGAAAGGCCTGTGTTTGAATCCTTGCTTTGTTTCCTTTTAGGTCTATGATTTGGGCAGTTTATTTTATTTGAACCTCAGTTTACTTAGCTATAAAAAATGGAACTAAAAAATAATAAGCTAACTGAACTGACATACATAAAGCATTTAGCTGAGTGCCTTAAATAGGAGGCCACTTCAGAACCTGTTTGTTGATGGATAAAATCATAAAAAGCATATTAGGAATTTAAGAGAGGTCCAGTAAAGGCAAAATAGAACATGCTTGGAAGGAGAGAAAGGACTTTTCAGTGTCTCATACTGTTTTAAAAGAGGGCTTCAATTAGACTAATGATGGGTTAACAGTGATTAGTTACCGCCACTTCTTGAGGTCTTTACTCAGTGTCTCCTTATTAATGATGCGTTCCCTAATTCTTCCCACTTCTCAAAGACTGTCCTCTGTTCCGTTACTCTGTTTTCTTCATTGTGCTTATCACTACGGGTCATTTTATATATTTATTTGTATTTATTTTTGCCCCATTATGACAGCAAAAGCTCCATAAGATCATAGTCTTTGGTTTTTACACCCCTGTATCTCTACCTGTTAGAACAGTTTCTGTCTCATGCTCGGTGCTCAGCAAATACTTCATAAATCCATGAATGTATCTGTTTTAATACAGTGATTGGCCTGATAAGTTTGTTTGTAATTCAGACAGCAAGTGAATGAGACATGGGGGAGACTCTAAGCAGAAAATGTAAGTCAGTGTTTCCAAAAAAAAAAAAAGTGCTATTTAGGACATTGGTCCTAAGTATATCTTGGGGGCAGAAAGGATTACTGATGAGTTTGGGGAAATAAAAGCATATTAAATCTCTTTTTTAAGACTGAGAAAGTTCAGTTCTCAGAAAGCCCATTTAACTTAGTTTTATCTAGCCGTTTCCCCGCATTTGACAATGGAGCAAGAGATTTGAGAGTGATTAGCAGTGGAAATGACTGGTCATGTTCAGACTGGGCAGGAAGGCAAGGATAGCCAGGAATGGAAATCCAAGTCATTCTGAGATCAAGGCTGTCAGTTAAAGGTGGAAGATAGAAATCTTTTTTAAAGTTCAGAGGTGGGCTCTTTAGATGTTTTGGCAAATGGAGTGGTGGTGAAGGTTGTGTATTGAGTAGGTTAAACATGAATTTTGAAATGTTTAAGTCTCCTAGGATGAGCTGAAAAAGAAAAATCTTTTGATACAGTAGGTATTGTTGATCTGAAAGTGGTACAGTTTTTGGAAAGATTTTATTTCTTCTTTGGAATTGTTGATCTGAAAGTAATACGATTTTTGGAAAGATTTTATTTCTTCTTTGGAAGAAAGTATTGTGCTTCAGAAGAGAACTTTCTTGAAGGTTTAAGCTTGGATTCAGATTAGCTGTAATAGAATATAAGATGACAGAAGGGAGGAGATAGACATTCTGCAGTGGAGTCCAGAACTGTTCTTAATTTCCAAGTTTTCTTTTGAAAATATTCTTTCCTATTTCTTAAATACATACGTTTTAAAATGTCAGAACTATTTGATATAATATATTCTTTCACATTACCTATGTAATAGTATTATGTAAAGATATCATTTCAAGTCTTATCGTACAGGTTATAAAGTTGTGAACTATAGCGACTCATTACAGAATTATATGTACTGAATGGATTTTGTAAGAAGAGATTGGCTTCTTGAGTGTTCTAGAATATTAAAGTAATTTATTAACTTGGTTCTGTTCATCAGTTGGAGTGCTTTTTAATTTTGCTTTTTGCTACAATATTAACTTGTCTGAATATTATGTCTCTTGTAATTTTATAAGCTGCAAAATTTGCTCATATTTACCACATATAAGAGCTTAGTGGAGTCTGCCTGCATGCAGACTTGGAAAGTACTGCTTTTTATTTCTATAGGTTGTAAATCCTCTCAAATTTTAATGGAGAATGTGCAGATATTAGCTTGACTTAACAAATACTAGCCTTGGTGTATCTATATGATTTGTCATAAATTTACTTTTAATTTATATAGTGAAGACCACATAGAAAGAGATGTCATGTTTTTCACTATACGTCCTTTCAGATTCTCAGTTTTCTATGTAGACAATTGGAAGTGATTTTTTCAACATAATATGTACTACCTGAAACATTCATTCTGTCATTGCAATTAATTTTTCTTATATTGAGGTGGCACCTGTGGCTCAAAGGAGTAGGGCGCTGGCCCCATATGCCAGAGGTGGTGGGTTCAAACCCAGCCCTGGCCAAAAAAAAAAAAATTTTTTTTCTTACATATGAACTTTTAAAAAAATTATAATACCAGTAGGAGAAGTATCTTTCATCCAAGTAGTTTTCTTCCTAATATGGGCTTAAGGTAGATTTTTGTTAAACTATTAATACAGATAAAAGAGGGCCATTGTGTCATTTAGTCTGACTTTCTTATTTTATATGAGTAGAACCTGAATTTTAGGCTAAATATCTTACCCAGGGACTCTTAGTTCTCAATGACAGAGCTGGGGCTTGAAGTTAGATAATACAGGGTAGCCATAAAATTTGTGTGCAATTTAATACGGTCGGCAATTTAAAATTGCACATGGACTTTATGGCCACCCTGTATAAGTCAAATCCCAGGGCTTTTTCTACTATGTCTTTTAATGAATACCATTAGAATAAAATGTGGCTTTTGACCCTAAGGCCTAAACTATCATGACCTGAGTAGAAGTTTCCATTAATAAGGTTTTAAAAAATCACTTCATTAGTAACATTTCTTTTATCCAGGTATATAACAGTTATATTAGTTTTAATCGATTCCGAGTTATAGCTGCCTCTTCATTAATTGATTCATTGTGCCTGGGAGGTCAGACTATCTGAATTTACTGGTCCAGTGACTCTTAATATAAGTAGTATATGTATAAAATAATGAAGAGTTCTCATAATACATACAATTTGTATAAGTGGGTGATCTTGCCATAGAACATTATACTTTAAATTGTCTGGTGATAATCAGAACAAGATTCTTTTGTTCTAGACTCTTCAGATCATTTCAGAAAGACATGTAACCCATCACCAATGATAGTTCTTCATTCCTTGGAGATTAGCAGGATAAATTGTGTTTTTAATGTATAGTAATTTATAATAAAGATAGCCTGTAAGTTAAGAGTATATGAAAAATGGATTTGGTTAAAATAATTACAAGAAAACCAGATATTTCCAACAATATCAACTTGGTTGTCCTTACTCTTTTGTGTTTATCCTGTTTTTTTAGACCACTTTTTACTTTGGTAACTCTAAAGGTCTTGCTCCCATTATAATTGATACTTTTGCTTATTTCACAATGAAACGAGACATTTTCATAAAACTGGCAACTTACCTGTGAAACTGAGGGAAAACAGTCAAATTTGAAGTTTTACAAATGATTTATTGAAATTGTTTTTAAATTCTTTTTCTTTGTTTTGTTCTAGAAAGCAGAGGATTTTTTATTGAGATAATGACTTTTAAATGCATTCTCTTTAAAGGCATGTCATCTCTTATTATGCCTTTTGTGTTAATAATTTTCCTTTCATTTAAGGACATTTTAAACATGTTTGGTATCTCATAGGAATTAATGCCAAGAATTAAATTTTATTGTATAGTAATATCCTGGTAGCTTGTATGTTAAACTTTAATTTTTGTATAAAAGTAGGGTGTTATTTGGTTCTTAGATGCAGTGAATAAGTAAAACATAAAGATACTAGCTTCATTATGGTTTTCCCCATCGTGTAGCTGTTCCTTGGTACCTGCTTGGCAAGTAGTAGGTGCTCACGTAGGCACTAAGATTGTTCTCATGTGTTGAATGGATTTTTCTCGATAGTTAATTTGTATTAGATTTTGCTTTTTTATCTATTTAACATGAAGATAATAAAGTATGCTTTTAATGAATAGATGTGCTTTTTAAATTTTGTGTTGATGAATATTTAAATCATTTCTCAGTATTTAATGGAGCACATGGAGACTATAAACAAGCTTTGTGATTATTTAGCATGAGGTATCACTTTGACTATAATTTTTAAAACCCTACTAAAGAACCTCCTGGATTCCAGATGGCAACTCTGTCAACTTTTTGTATCATTGCTAGAGTTAAGTTATGCAGGTAAATGGTAGTGCCCTCCCTGAGTAAACTGGCCCCTGGTACTGTAGGAGGACCAATCAGGCAAATCTTGGTTTTGCTTTTATAGTGTCTGCTACTTAACCTAAGCCACTATGCCGAATAACCTCCATCTAAGATGAAAAATAGTCACTATCAACCAGTCCAATAGGGCCGTGGAGTCCTAGGAGAATGAAGGAACAAGAACAGTTCTTCTCTTGCTGTATGTGAATATGTTCTCGTCAGTGTCTGTTTTGATTGACCTGATTTGTTTTCTTTGAACTCACTAAGTGCCTTGAAACATTATAATTGTACTTTTAAAATGAGTTTGTTTATGTTACTGCTGAAGGGAAATGCTTTTTCTATTTGTTTTTCATTTGATAAAAGAATTTAAAAAATTTATATTCAGTAGGATATTCAGGATGATATATGGGAATGATGGAAAGATTAATTTTTTAGAATATTGTAAGTATGAAAATAAAATTAGATTTGATATTTCACTAGAAAATAAAATGATAAATTGACTCAGTTGCAGAATCCCAAAGAATATAGTTATTTTTCTTTTTTCTCTTTCTTTCTTTCTTTCTTTCTTTTTTTTTTTTTCTTGAGGCAGAATCTCACTTTGTCATCCTCAGTAGAGTGCCATGGCGTCACAGGTCACAGCAAACTCCAACTCCTGGGCTTAGGGGATTCTCTTGCCTCAGCCTCCTGAGTAGCTGGGACTACAGGCACCTGCCACAATGCCTGACTATTTTTTGTTGCAGTTTGGCCAGGCCCAGGTTTGAACCTGCCACCCTTGGTATATGGGGCCGTTGCCCTACCCACTGAGCCACAGGTGCTGCCCTAGTTATTTCTTTAAAAAAAAAAATTCTCTTTTAATGGCTGAATACTATTCTGTGGTATACATATACCACAGTTTGTTAATGTATTCCTGGATTGGTGGGCATTTGGGTTGTTTCCTCATTATGGAGATTGTAAATTAAGCTGTGATCAACAGTCTAGTGCAAATGTGCTTATGATGAAATGATTTTCTTTTCTTCTGGTTAGATACCAAATAATGGGATTTCAGGATCAAATGGGAAGTATAATTTGAATTCTTTGAGGATTCTCCATACTTTCTTCCAAAAAGGTTGTATTACTTTGCAGTCCCACCAGCAGTGTAAAATGTTCCCTTCTTTCCACCTCCATGCCAGCATCTGCAGCTTTGGGACTTTGTGACGTGGGCCACTTTACATCTTTTGTATTAACGTGGATGGGGTGGAGCACATGCTTAGTAAAGCATCACAAGCATGGAGAAGCAAGAATCCAGTGTATTCAATTCTAACATGAAGGCAGTAGATGAGCTAATACATGGTGGGGTATAGGGGAATGAGGGAGCGGGAGAGGGGATGAGTGAGGGAGTTGGGGGGTCACAGTGTATAGCATACCTCTTGGGGGGCAGGACAGAATTATAAGGGATTTTACCTAACAAATGCAATCAGTGTAACCTAATTCTTTATATCCTCAATGAATCCCAAACAATATAAAAACAAAAATTATTCTATGACTAACTACTTAATGCTTCAACCTCTGAAGTGAACTGGGACTACAGGGGTGTGCCTCCTTAAAATTTTTTGGTAGTGAGAGAGTCATATTTCTTAGGGTGATCTGGAACTTCTGGCCTCAAGGAATCCTCCTGCCTCACTTCCAAAGGACTGGGATTATGGATGTGAGCCATCATGCCCAGCCGTATTCGTTTATCCTTAAATCACGACTCTTATATATTTATCCTGGTCTTTTTGACTACTTTTTGATTTTGATAACTCTAAGTTTTATGCCTGTTTAGAGATAATTTCTCTTATTTCAAAAGGAAATGACATTTTTGACAACTTATGAAACTAAGAGCAAACATTAAAATTTGAAGTTTCACAATTTGAGAGCTACAGAAATTATTTTCTTTTCTGTTTTAGAAAATGGAAGTGTTGTCCAAGTTGGAGAATTGTTACCTTGCAAGATTTGTGGAAGAACATTCTTTCCGGTAGCATTAGTGAGTAGACTGATTTTGTGCCTTTTCTGTTTGGGGTTTGTTTAGTGGATCTGCACTTGTTCAGTACTTCAGAACTACTGTCATAGGAAGAGCTTACGTGGAAAACTGTGACGAGTTTCTTGTTAGTGTTCTTTAAGAGTCTTGGTTCCAGCTGTGTCATCGTTCCAGAATGCTCTGTTTCCTTTAGAGTTTGACCAGTTTTCAGAACTCTTTTATTAAATTGTGGGACTATTACCATCCACAAAAACAAACAAAATACCTCTTAGAAATAAGTAATAATGTATTTACAGATACAAAGTTATATAATGTTTGGGATTTGCTTTATAGTACTTCAGGATAAAAGCAGAAATAGATAAAACAAAATTGCTAATATATTGGTAATTTAAGTGTTGAAGCTAGGTGATGAATAAATGGGAGTTATATCAGTTTCTCAACTCTTATGCATGTTTGAAGTATTCCAAAGAGAAAGTTTTTTTTTTTCAGTATAAAAGTGTACCTAAAATTTATTATGCATTTCTGGATGCTTTTAGATACTAAGTATATACAGAAGCCAACTAAATAGAGAATAATAAAAATCATGCCTGTGTACTCTAAAGATATTAACATCAGACAAAAATGTGCATTTATTTGTTATGAATAATTTTTCTTTGAATATGGGTCTGCTAATGAGAGTTCTGCCACAATCCCCTGTGCATCCTCTTACTATTTCTAGTTTGTTTTGTTAAAGAAAGTGAAGAAATAATGATACAGTGTTAAAATTGATCTGCCCTTGGATCCTGCAATTCCTCTACTAGGAGTATATGTAAAAGACCAAAAATCACTTTGCAAAAAAGATATTTGCACCATTCATTGCAGCTCAATTCGTAATAGCCAAGTTATGGAAGAAGCCCAAGTGCCCATCAACCCATGAATGGATTAATAAATTCTGGTATATGTATACCTTGGAATACTATGCAGCCCTAAAAAAGATGGAAACTTCACCTCTTTTTTGTTTACATGGAGGGACCTGGAACATATTCTCCTGAGTAAAGTATCTCAAGAATGGAGGAAAAAGTATCCAGTGTACTCAGTACTTCTATGAAACCTACTTATATTTACTCATACTTTCTCCTGAAAGATAGAACACAATTATAGCCCAGGATGTAGGAGAGAAATGGAATGGTAAGGGAGGGAAGGGAGGAGCTTTGACACAGGGGGAGGGTAAACGGCAGGACCACACCTATGGAGCATATCGCAAGGGCACAAGTCAAATCTATCAAGTATAGAACATAAATGTCTTAACACAATAATCAAGTAAATGAGGCAAAAGCTATATTAATTAGTTTGATGGAAGAACGTCAAATTGTATAGAATCAACACATTGTACCCCACATATGCAGAAATGTATTCATGATCTATGTGTATACACTTAATTAAAAAAAAAATGATACAAAGTGCCCTACTAACTGCACGTGCCTTTTAGATAATGTTGACTTTTCTGTTATTCTTTAAAAACATCTTAATTATAAAACCAGCACATTGTACCCCATAAATGCATAAATGTACACAGCTATGATTTAATTTAAAAAATAAACCTCTTGCCTATACATTCAGTGATTATTTTTTTGGATCAGTTTATTATTTTACAAAACATTCAGCTGAGTATCAATGGTAAAAAATAATGCCCTTTTTTTGCCCTCATTTGTCTAGTATTTGATTTAATGATGTTTTCAGTATGACAACTATAACATGAATAGTCAGATTTGGAAACAAACAGGACTTAACACTTGACATACATGGGAGCATACATACAAGGATCTACTGCCTGCTTGCTTCATTGTTTTTGAATACTTAAGAGATTTTATTATAGCTATAATTACAGTGCTTGCTTGTGGAACTGAAAACTGACAACAGGTTTATAAAACAGTCGATTACTGATCATTTACTGAAAGCTTCAACTTTCTTCAAAGTTTATGAAAATACAAAAGAAAGAGTGTTTAGTTGATCAGTCAACATGCTTTTTATAGGGTGGACATAAAGTTTATGTGCAATTGCACACGAAGTTTGTGTCCGCTAAGAATAGTAGAAGAAGAAGAATGTTTATCTAATTGGTCGCTAAGAGAGCTTCCATTGGAATGTCCTTAAAATGAATAAATGAATGAGTGAATGAGTTGTCAACTCTAGTAAAAACAACAGAAAACTAGAAAAGTGGAACACAAGAAAAATCCTAGGTGAAGAAAGGTAGAGAGCTTGACTTCCAGAAGGGAGGAAAGGGATCATGATGTGGGAAGGACACAAATCTGACTACCTTGTCCTATTACCATTTTGTGCAAACTTTATATTAGTATGCTACTATTATGCTAACTTTAGTAATCCAGATTACTTTTAACTTTTGTAAATTTAACCATAATACATTCTTCTCCTTTTACATTGTCTTTTTAGTATCTATATTGAGTTATTTATTATAGTAAAGATTTTTTTTTCTACTGGATTAGCATTGACTTGGTTACATGTTTTTGGCAAAATGAAAACTGAGAAAAAAATATTGAATAACTTTAAGATTTTAAAAGAAAATTTCTTTATCGTGTGAGAAAGATAACTTACAGCATGTATTATATACAAAAAGTTAATTTTAATTAAGGCAAGGTGTATCTTTATCTTTCTGTTTTTAAATTGGTCTCAGAGTTTTAAGCTGGCTTCAATCTAAATAAAGTTTTATAGTTTTCTGTAAAAAAGAAAATGATGTTACATTGTTTCTTTCTAACAGAAAAAACATGGACCCATTTGCCAGAAAACTGCTACTAAAAAACGGAAGACTTTTGATTCAAGCAGACAAAGAGCTGAAGGAACTGATATTCCAACAGTAAAACCTCTTAAACCAAGGGTAGCTATATAACCTTTTGAACAATATGAATATGCTGTTCTATATATTGAAAAAATGATAATTATTATACTAAGATTAAAAATACAAGTCTGTGTTATATGTACTGTTCAGAAATCATCAGAAGCTTTATAAAATAAAGTAAGTTTTCTTTTTAAATAAAATTTCAAACTTTTGCAAAGTAGGGATATAGCCAGTTGTTGTCACATGTTCTTTAAGTCATTGTTAAAAGCTTTAGATATAACAAGTTTTGAGCTATTACTGTCTCTTACCAGTAGTATAATTGCTATATGCAGAAGGTAAACCTATTAGTTATAGACATCTTTGTAATTTATATTTATGCTTCCTGGGGAAAAAATTTATCATTTGTTCAGTTGTCCACAGATAGGTATTTTCAGCTCATTTTCTTTCTTGAAACAAAGCAATAAGCCTTTTGTGATGATTTCTCCTTAATGACTGTCATGTATTATAGTTATCCTTTGATATCTGTGGGGTATTGGTTCTAGGACCCCCCCCTTGGATATCAAAATCTCTGGATGCTCAAATCTCTTATGTAAATAGTATAGTATTAATATTTGGATATAATTTATATCCTGTATACCTCAATCTCTAGATTACTTATAATACCTAGTACAATGCAAATGCTATATAAAAAGTTGTCATATTGTGTTATTTTAAAGTTGTATTATTTTTTATAGTACTATTGTTATTTTTTTTTTTTTCTTTTGAGACAGAGTCTTACTATGTCATCCTTGGTATAGTGCCATGGCATCATAGCTCACAGCAACTTCAAACTCTTGGGCTTAAGTGATTCTCTTGTCTTAGACTGCTGAATAGCTTAGATTATAGGTGCCCACCACAACGCCTCGCTATTTTTTGTTTGCAGTTGTCATCGTTGGAACCCGCCAGCCTTGGTGCATATGGCTGGTGCCCTACTCACTCAACTATGGGCGCTGAGCCTCAAATATTTTTTTATCCATGGTTGGGTGAATCCATGAATGTGAAACCCAAAAATATGGAGGGCTGACTTTACATTGCTAAGAATAAATTACTTAAATACTTTATCTGACTTTGTTATAAACAGTCATTTCAGTAGTGAAGATAAGTACTGGACTGAGTAGATTTTTGAAACAAAACTCTACTTTTCATGTTAATAACTTCTTCCAGTGGTATAGGAAGAACATTTCCTTCTGGAGAAATTAATCTTACTGATAAAATCATTTGATGGTAGAAAAATCAGATGTTCATTTTTGGTTTTCAGTCTGTAATTATATAAGTAAAGGATGGTGAAGTTCATATAATGTTTGTAAACCAAGATTTCAGTTGTTACTAATTTGGCAGATACATGATTATATTAGCTTTAATTAGCTTAGATAGATAAACTAAACACATCTTTGGAGGCAGTGTAGTACAATGGGTATGAAAGATGGACCAAGAGTTAGAATGCCTGAATTTAACCCTGACTCTGCTACAGTCTGTATATTTTGGGGGCAAGTTACTTAATCCAATTATGCTTCTGTTTACCTATAAAATGGTGATGGTAGTAGTATTTATCTTGTGAGGATTACATAAGATTAGCCATGGGATCTCAATAAATCTTCTATTTCTATTCTATTTCTTTTATAAAGATAGGGTATTTGTATACTTAAAAATTAATCTCCTGAGAAAAAAGTAAAAATCATTGCTTTACATTAAGTGGTTTATTGCATTGGTACTAAAAGTATGGTCCATAGAACAGTAATATCTACACTATTGGGGAACTGTTTAGAAATACAGAGTCTCGGGTCCTTCCCAGACACACTGAATAGAATTTGCATTTCAACAAAATCCCTGGTGAGTGAAATTCACATTAAAATTTGAGAAGCAATTTCTTAGAAAGTTTGAACATTGTGGCATAGTTCTCAATATATTTACCTTTATCCAGAAAATCCTATTAAATCACTAGTGGAATGGGGACAAAGCAACTACAGACTCCATTTCTGGAAAGACAAAAGGCAGACCTACTCCACAGATTACCAAATAGATGTAAGGGCTGCCCAAAGCAGTTGAGATCCAAGAGAAATTACCCAGAAGAAGAAGTACCGGAAGTTGCTGGGGGAGGACCGTGGTTCAGATTCTAGAAATCTGTTGCCTAAAAAGCGACTCTAAGAGATGTCATTGGAGAATATAGATCTCTCATTTACTACAGCCAAGGTGTGAAATGGGATGAACTGTTGGAATTTGGATAACCAGGAACTGGAATGAGCAGGGCTAAAAATGTATAAAAGCCAAGCGGAGAGAAAAGGAACAGAAAGTTGAGGAGGCCTGATTGAAGGGGCCCTTGGAAAGCACTAGTGAAAATGCCCTACCCGGAAGTGAAGGGCATAACTAAAAGGCTGTCCTCTTTTGGAAGTTGTTGCGGGATGTGAGGGAGCAGGGCTGGCTGCAGTAGCCCTCTTGGAGCAGCACTGTTTCAGTGCGAGAACAAGCAGGTGTATGTGTGATCCCATGAAGATGCTTTATTTGCAGGAAGGAATTGGCATCTGGTGGAACAGAGAAGGAGGTGATTGATGGTTCTGTAGCCCTAAAGGCTACTGTGGGAAATCTCTTGCAGGCAGCTGCACCGGGAAAACTTAAATTATTCAGTGATGAATACTAAAATACCTATTAGTTTAGCATTGATAAGGTACTGTGAGAAAAAAGCAGCAAAACTAACCAGTAGACGAGTAATACTCGTTATGTGATCTGATATTTTGCTGTAGAAAAAGAAACTTTAAAGGGTAGGTGATGTCAGACACCTAAACTTGCCACCATCGAGGCTAGGCATGGTGGCTCACACTTGCAGTCCTAGCAAGGTCAGGCCAGGGCAGATGGATTGATTATATGAGCTCAGGAGTCCAAGACCAGTCTGAGCAAGAGTGAAACCCATTTCTAAAAAAAAAACTAGCCAGGTGTTGTGGCAGATGCCTGTAGTCCCAGTTACACTGGAGGCTAAGGCAAGAAGATCCTTTGTGCCCGAGAGTTTGAGGTAGCTGTGAGCTATAATTCCATAGCACTCTACCAATGGCAACAAAGTGAAACTCTGTCTCAAAAAAAAAAAAAAAAAAATTGCCACCATTAAATATTTCTGTGTCTGTATTCATGATAGCAGTGGGTCAGTACTTTTTTCTTTTATATCAAAATGCTGGTGTTCTCAGAAAACTAGTTGGAAAGTTGTTTCTTGTTTTCTATTTTCTAATTGATGTTAATTTTTTTTCCTTAAGTGTCTTAAAAATAAAGGCAGCTGAGCCAGGAGGTTTCTTTGTGGGAAAGAATAGATTAATTTTATAAGATAAATCTAAGACTGTTGTCATTTTCTATAACTTTTGGTTTCTGTTTTGTTGTGTTTTCCAAGTAAATTGCCTATTTCATCGTAATTATCAAATTGATTGGGATACATTTTCTTTATAATATCTTTTCTTTCTCATGTTTTTAGGAACTGGAGGGTGTATTTCCATTCCTTAATAATTTGTGTCCTTTTTTTTTTTGATCAGTCTTGCCTTATTAATGTTTTTAAAGAACATCTATGGATTCCATAATATAGTTGATTTAAAATATAAAGACATAATAGAAATAGTTGGATATTTCAATAATATCACAAAATAAATCTTGTAGACACATTGGGCAGCATCATGTTTAGTGAAAAGACAATTGAGGTAGTCCAAGTAAAGTCAGGAACAAGATTAAACTGCAACCAACATAGAAAATGCCAACTGATAAGTGTCCAGTTAGATGAGAACAAGAAATTAGATGCCCAGAGATCAGAAAAGACAGTAAAACTGTGATTATTAGAAGATGTGACATATCTGGAAAACCCAAGAGAATCAAGAGAAAATTACTATAAACAGTAAGGGGAAGGTAAAATAATGTGATATAATGTTACTATACAGACAGTACTAGGCTTCATATATTCAACCAACAATCTCTTAACACATAAAAATGAAGAAAAGACCTTATATAAAAGGACAAGACAAAATATAAAATACTTAGGAACAAACCTTACAATGAAGAAACAAGACTTCCCAACTCTTAAAATCTGCTGAAAATAGCAATGAGTACTTCCTCAAATGGAACTATAGCCCACGTGCTTGTATCGATAGACTCGACATCATAAAGACCTAAGTTTCCTAAATTGTTTGAGTGAAGTGTTCAATCTTTCCACTGGTTATTATATTCACATGGACAATATATATACAAAAGTAACCAGGAAAAGATTGAAAAAGAAGTGGATTGAAATAGTGTGACCCTATCAGATATTAAAATATAAGGTTTCAAAATTTAAAACATTGATACTGACACAGAATAGTCAGAAAAATGGAATAGAAGAGTAAGTTCAGAAATAGGCCCAAATCTATAAGGGAGTTTAGTATGTGATAAAGGTGTTATTTCTGCTATATGGGAGGATACACAGGTGGGACAACTGCATAGCTATGTTAAAAAACAAAAAATACAGTCAAATTCATACATCACATCATATGCCAGGGTACATATGAATAAGATTTAAATTTTAAAAAGAAAACTGTGAAAGTTCTAGAAGGAAACATGGGAGGCTGTCATTTTTCTTTGATGTGAGTTTGGGCATGGTTGATTTGATCTCAAATCCAGAGGTCCTAAAAGAAAAGATGAATAAATTGAACTGTATTTTAAAAGTAATGCTATGCATCAGAAGACCTAGAGGCAAGGCAACAAAATGTTGGTGAGAGGGAGGGAATAGTTCCTGTAAAGGGTTACTAGAAATTGTGACCCAAAAAAAAAAAAAGTAGTAATCCAAGAAATAAGTTAATCAAGAATATAAACAGTTAACAAAAAAGGTAGAGCAAGTGGTTCTTAACAATATGAAAAGATGTTTAATTTCACTATTTAGGAGAAAAAAATGCAATTAAATCTACAAAGCGAGGACTATTTTTCATCTCTAATCAGTTAAGAGCCCAAACGTTTGATAGCATACTCTGTTGAAGAGTCCATTGGGAAACAGGGACATATGTGTGTCTTATATGTTTTCTGCTGCTATGCCAGTTCTGCAAACTGGGTGATTTTTAAAGAAAAGAAATTTATTCCTCACAGTTGTAGAGGCTGGGAAGTCCAGGAGCATGGCACCTTCTTGCTGCGCCATCCTCTTGTGTAGCGGCAAGCATACATGTGAGACAGATAAATGGGGCCAGGTGTTTCTTTTTATCAAGACCCTACTCCTGTAATAACTAACCCACTCCCAGAGTAATACCATTAATCCATATTTAATCATCTCTTACATATTCATGTATTTTAATATTGTATTAATGGTAATGAAATTTCAACATGAGTTTCTGAAAGGACATTCAAACCACAGCAGCATTCTTAGTGGCTGTTTAGATGTAACATTTACAGAAAGAAATTTAGAAATGTCAGTTAGGATAAGAATTGTCTATTAGGACTAATCAAGTCCAATCACATAAAGTTTCTCTTTAAAATTATAAATGTTGGAAGAAAATCACTTAAAGACTCTGGATAAGAGAATATTTAAAATAATATGGTATTACCACAAGTTTTGTTTCAATTTACTAAAAAATTTTTGGTACTTTTTAAATATTTATTTATAGCCAGAACCACCAAAGAAACCATCTAATTGGAGAAGAAAACATGAAGAATTCATTGCCACAATAAGAGCTGCTAAAGGCCTTGGTCAGGCACTTAAAGAGGGGGGCAAACTTCCTCCACCTCCTCCACCTTCCTATGATCCTGGTATGTGGAATGTTGTTAACAGAAATGTTCATGTGGAGAGAAACTAACGATAGAGTTTTTTATTTGAGCGTATCATTAAGCTTAATTATAAGAGCGAAACCTGATGAAGCTTAATCTGTAAATGCTTTGGTATAAAATAATTGTGATAATCCAGGCATCTAAATTTATAAAGATACAAAGTAGAGCTAGGAGCACATTATCTTTAATAATTTTATTTAGACATAAGGCATTATATATTATTATTTTTAAATTATTTTAGTAACTTTTTTTTTCTTTTGCAGTTTTTGGCTGGGGCTAGGCCTGAACCTGCCACCTCTGGCATATGGGGCCAACGCCCTACTCCTTTGAGCCACAGGTGCCGCCCCTATTTTAGTAACTATTAAATGTTAACATTCCAGGAAGTATTTTAACTGTGCTCACTGTAGATTGGAATGTAATCGTTTAATAGGTTTATATTTAGTAATTATGTTGCCCGGTTCTTTGGTGTCATCTCATCTGGGAAGGAAAAAAAAAATCATTATTTCCAGAATATGCAGTTTATGTGGGTAGACTGCAATATAGACTGATAGACTTAAATTGTGCCTTAAATTCTTACATTATTAACATTTTTTTCACTGGAGAGAGAAAAGATGCTTGGTTCATTGTTACCCAAAGCAAAGCAAGACTGGTAACCCAGTATGAGATACTAAGATACTGAAAGATGTAAGGTAGCACAGCAAAACAATGTTAGTCTTCTAGATTGATGAAAACTAACTGTTGAGAAAGTTCTTTAGCAAATGTACATATATTGGGCTGGCACCTGTGGCTCAGCAGGTAGGGTGCCGGCCCCATATACTGAGTGTGGCAGGTTCAAACCTGGCCCCAGACAAACTGCAACAAAAAAATAGCCGGGCGTTGTGGTAGGTGCCTGCGGTCCCAGCTACTTGGGAGGCTGAGGCAAGAGAATCACCTAAGCCCAGGAGTTGGAGGTTGCTATGAACTGTGTGATGCCACGGCACTCTACCAAGGGCAACAAAGTGAGACTCTGTCTA